AATCAATGTCATTCAATTGCACATGGAGAGCTTGTTGGATTGTGTAAATTCTGCTGTGTATACAGTGAACCCTCGTTTATCGCGGTTAATCGGTTCTAGACCCTACCATGATAAATGAAATTCCGCGAAGTAGGATTCCTTATTTGTAAATCAAATATTTTCGTAGTTAGAACATAGAGGACATGAAAAAACACCCTTTAGTAACCATTACACTCGTATTACCCAATTTATTAAACGAAAAAGGGAAAATACAGTAAAACATTTTGGACGTTACAATTATCATTTATTATTTATTATATTATTTATGGCATCAAGCGTGTACAGTATGAGCCAGTCAGTGGCAGTAATGATAGAGCACGCGCTGTTATGCAAAAACCGCCGATAGAGTGAAGCCGCGGAAGTCGAAGCATGAAGTGGAGAGGGTTCACTGTATTCTCAACAACAATAAACAAAATACAATGAAAAGATGACATTGTTAGAGTAAACCAGCCTCTAGCAATCACGGAGTTTGTAGGCACAGCTGTACGGATATAATATATAAAGATTATTGTAAAGTCATAGAAGATGGGAGAGAGAGTAAAATAAAGGAGTCAGACACATTTCATGGTAGCATGTTCACCTCAGCCCCTCTGGGTGGTCCAGGTGGAAGTGAGAGAAGAGAGAGGAGGGGAGAAAGAATCTTTACTGTCTTGGGATATTTTTAGGAAGCCACAAGACATGTATCTTTAGTAGTTATAGGTGGGTGGTAACCCCAGTAAAGTCTCTGAGCTCACAGGTGAGGAAACCTAATACCTAGATTGGGGGAAGGGACAAGGGGGGATGGGTGCCACGGTGGGGCATGGGAGTGTGTGTAATCAAGGAATGTCTGCTTCTACAGGGAGATAGAATCAACCATGTGCTCACTTTAAGGCAGCATAGCTGTTAGGGGAGAATCTGTGGGAATGATATTTAAAGCAGGATAGTGTACTTGGACTTTAATTTACCGAAGTGGTGTCTTTCCGACCGTGGAATATTAGCTTTCCAGATTCCCTCTATTATAAGGTAGGGAATATAGTCCTCATCATATTTCCCTCAGTGTGAGTTTCCCGCATTTTGTTTTATGGTTTTGTTTTATGTATAAAATTCAAAAGAGCCACAGGGGCAACCTTCTATACATAGTTACTTTCTATACATTGAAAGCTGTCAAGGAAAAATCAATGACAATATTAATGTAGCCAAGCCAAAAATGTGAGCTATGGCAAATAACTTGAATTCAGGCTTGAGGGATAAAGCGCCCCCCAGCCCAACCACTATTGGGGGAAGGTATGAAAGGAGTGGGTTGATGGGACATAGAGAACTTTCCAGGACTGGAGAAGGCTCCCTCCTACCCTTTCCCAATCAGTAACTTCCAACCACCTGCCAACTGCCAGGGAGCCGAATCTGACTCACAAGGACCCTATGGGACAGAGGAGACCCACCCTTGTCATTTTATAGAGGATGCAAATATTTGCAGCAAGAGATAGCCTTGCCTTTCTCCCTTGGAGTGGCTGGTGGAGTCAAACTGCTGACCTTGTGGGTAGCTGCCCAATGCCTAACCCACTACGCCACCACAAACCACTCCTCAGGGGCATGCATAGCGCTAATCCAACTTGTGACTTTTGCCCCAGCCAGCCAGGGTCCAACAATGCCCTTGGTGGATAACCATCCTACGGTCACGGCAATGTTAGCATTCTATAACCTTCTCCTCCTTATCATGCTGAGAAGGCAATTTCAACGGAGCATTTGAAATTCTCCAAGTACTCTGTCTGCCACATTACTTCCCCTCTCTTTATAAGTCTTATCAGATTCAGCTGCGACTTACCACTTCTGTAACCACGGTTTGCTGGACTCTAACAAGCTTAGGAGCTGGCATCTTCTCTCAGAGGTAGAACTACATTTACCAAGCTCCTGGGACTAACGTGGAAAACTGGAATGTCAATGTATTCACTGATAACAAGAAATATAATTGTTAAGCAGACTGGAACATTCTCATCAGCATGATAAACACATTCTTTCTCTGAAGGCAGATGTAAGTGAAAAGTCAGATTAGACAAAGGTTGCCTGGTGAATAATTGATTGTTCAACTCTATTGACTAACAGCCTATTACACAGCAGCACTGTGCTGGGCTCCAGGTGGAAAGAGTAGGGGCTTTGCTCACGGAGCCTTATGTGCAGGCCGAAAGCAGCCCCTGAACAGATCCTCAGACTTGTAGGCAGTGGTTCTCAACCTTCCTAATGCCTCCCTGCTTTAATACAGTTCCTCATGCTGTGGTGACCCCCCAACCATAACATTATTTTCGTTGCTACTTCATCACTGTCATTTTGCTACTGCTATGAATTGGGTGGCCCTGTGAAAGGGTCGTTCAGCCCCCAAAGGGGTCTCGTCCCACAGTTTGAGAATCGCTGCTTCTAGGTAAATAAAGAGCGAAGCTTCATTTCGGTTCCCTCTTTGAGTTAATCGTACAGAGATCTTTACAAACGGCACTGTAGTAGAATCAACAGACTAGAGTTCATGGGTCAAGTCCAATCTGCCACCAGTTCTTAGCTAGCTGCTAAGCTGCCACCTGCTAGCTAACAATCATCCCTGGTGGTGTAGCGGGGTACTTATTGGGCTGCTAACCACAAGGTTTACGGTTCAAAACCACCAACCACTCCTTGGGAAAAAGAGGTCGCTTTCTACTCTGATAAAGTTTTGCAGTCTTGGAAACCCACAGGGGCAGTTCTACTCTGTGCTGCAGGGCCACTTTGAGTCAGCATCAACCTGCTGGCAGTGAGGGAGCTAACAATAGCTTTCTGTTTTTTAATGGTTGGAAAACATCGAAAAGTAATATTTGATAATATGTGAAAGTGATATGAAACTCCATCTTCAGTGTTCATTTAAAAAGCTCTATTAGAAGACAGCTCTGTGTGCCCCTACTTGGTCTGCATGTCGACCGTGGTTACTTTGGTGCTACAAATGGAACCGTTGAGTACACGGAGGGGCGGCAATGGGATGCACTGAGACCGTCTACTGTCTGGTCTGGTCCTTTAGAGAGAAAGTGTGTCCACCCTCGTGCCAGCTCCCCGCCCCCCCCCCCCCCCATGGAATTTACTGCACGGATGGAAATGGTTTTTCTGCTGTCCAGTGTGGCCTAGCCTGTCACTAGCAACATGTGACTAGTGAGCCCTTGACCTATGACTAAGGTGACTGAGGAAAGGCACTGATAAGTTTAGCTCATTTGCGTTTAAATAGCTACAATCATCTTGGAGAGCTGAGTTCTAGAAAGCAGCAGCGAGGGGACCTGAACTTTGAATCACGGAGCCCTGGTGGCAGAGTGGGTATGAGTGCAGCGGCGATCTGCCAGGTCAGCAGTTCTAAACCTCCAGCTGCTCCCTGGAAGAAAGATGGGGCTTTCAACTCCCATAACGGGCTACAGCCTCAGAAACTCACAGGGGCAGTTCTGTCCAGTCCTATAAAGGTCACTGTGAGTCGGCATCAACTCGATGGCAGTGGGGTTTTCTTGAGCACCGTGGAGGACAGGGTCACCGTAGTGATATAAAAGATTAAGTGAAAGCTTCCATGTGGAAGCGCTCCTGCCATCAAACTCCTTTCTCAGGCTGGTTTCTCGATGCTGGCCAGTGAGTATGCCCTCCTAAAATTAAAGAGAAGAGCCTTCCCTAGAGCACTGGACTGGCTAAGAGGAAAGAGCTAAAGAGACTGACACTGGAGGCTCTCTAGTGGACAGTCGCACGCACACTCATCGCTAGCGAGCCCTGCTGACAGGCACAGACGTCTTTGAGCTTTAAGTCCACCCTTCCGTAGGAGCAGATGGTCATGGGGGAAAGCTTATAGTACGAGACCAAATCAATAGACTTGTCTCGTTACCTGGGACAGAGTGGGTTATGTGTTGGGCTGCAAGGTGAGCGATTCAAACCCACTAGCTGCCAGATGAAGAGGAGGCTTTCTGCTCCTATGAAGAGTTACACACTCAGAAGCCCAAAGGGGCAGTTCTACTGTGTCCTATTGGCTCGTTATGAGTCAGAATGGCAGGGAGTTTTAAAAAATAGTGCGCTGATCAGGCTTCCCCCAAATAATGACCCTATTTAAAATAGGGCCTTTGCAGATATTATTAGTTAAAGGTGTTGTGATAAAATTGGCCTGATGGGGCCTAAATCCAATGAGTGGTCCATATAAGAAGATGAGGCGACACAGGGAGCCAGCAGAGAAGGTAATGTGAAGATAGAGGCAGAGAGTGGAGCGATGCACCGACAAGCCAAGAAATGCCAAGGGTTTCGAGCAAGCACCCGAAGCTAGGTGTGGTAGATATATAATCTCCTGTCAACGTGCGAAGGGGTGGGGTCTAGCCTGTCAACCAGGTTGCAAATTGATGACCTCATTTGGAGGCACCATGGAAATAAATAGCTCACTGGAGGCCAGATACACACACACACTCTGCTTCGTCTTCCTGCTGACAAGTCACACAGAGCTACACTAGAGCCCTGGAGCTGAGATGCTTCCAGTGTCACTGGATCCATAAGATTTTCCACCCACTGGCCTGTGATCTTCCTGCGTTTGGTGTCAATGCACGTTTTTGCATGAGTCTGAAGAGGAATTTATAGATTGGTATCAGACATATAGGCTAATATTGGACTTATGGACTTGATCTGGACAGGGCTGGGATGGTTTCTTAAGGTACAATTGCTCTTTGGAATAAAACTCTCTCTTACACACATCTGAGTGTCTCTGGATTTGTTTCTCCAGTCAACCCAGACTAACAGGCCAGGAGAGAAGACTGGCACAGTTCCTTCTGCAAAACCTCCTGGAGGAACCAACCCTTCCAATAGCTTCATTTCAAACTACTGGTCCACCGAACTGTAAGAAGATACATTTTTGTCTTCAGACATTTAAGTTTGCTATAATGTGTTACAGCAGACTTAGGAAAATGAAGTTCAGCGAAGTCCTATGGAAAATATATATTTATTACATTAAGAGGTCGCCGAACATGGATGAAGGAAGCCTTGTGGTGCAGCGGGTAAAGCGTGCCTTTGAACTGGTTCCACCTGACTCAGACCCCTATTTTATTTTGAATGCAGGCCAACTGGAATGGTAACTAGAATAGGAAAAATTATAGGTCAAAGACCTGCTAGAAACTTTGGCTTTCTCTTAGGAAACCAGGGCCGCGGGCACATTAAACAGCAACCACATGTCTTGAGTCCCTGCTGTCAAGTTGATTGTGACTCATGGCAACCCTGTGGGACAGAGTAGAATTGCCTCTTTGGGTGTCAGAGCCTGAAAATCTTTACAGAAATAGAAAATCTCATCTTTCTCCAGCAGAGTGGCCGGTGGATTCGAACCACTGACTTTGCAGTTAGCAACTCAATGGGTAGCCCAGTAGCTGAGTCCAAAACAATAGTTCCGACCTCAAGGATGGTGGCTGACTACATGACTTTGAATGAGTGCTCCTCTCTCCCATCCTGACAATAATTCAGTGCTGTGCATCAGGCTCCTGATAGTCCTTGTTAAGTCCTCTTCCAAGCCTTCCATTCCAGGGCTTTGACCCAGAATTTTTCTCATTCCTGTTGGCATTCTGGAGCACCCGCATTAAAAAAAAATGTAGGTCTGTTCTGGTTTAGCATCACAGGCCATGAGTTGGCTGCTGACCTAATGGTTAGTGGTTTGAGTCTAGTTTCCCAGTGGGAGAAAGAGGAGGGAGTCTGCTCCCATGCAGATTTACAGCCTTGGAAATCTTATGAGGTCATTTAACTCTGTCCTCTAGGATCGCCAGGCACTGGAGTTGAATTGACAGTACTGCCTTTGGTTCGAGTTCAGAATCAATGGGCAAAACAATCTTTATTTTCCCCAACGTCAATTTGAATCAAGTGCTTCCCCCAATTAAGGACATAAGCCACTATCCCTGCTAGTATTTGCAGCCCTGCTGCTTTTATCACCCACAGACATCACAGATAATATTCTATCCTATTGCTGTGGTAGCAGTTACCTGGAAAGACCATTTGTGCTCGTCACAACTTTTGAAACTGTGGCTGTTATTAGATAATGCAAAATCTTGCAACAAAGGAGCACATGTGTGACTGTATGACAGCTCTGGTACATATTTGGCTAACCATAGCAATATAAACAATGTCCTCTGGGATCCTACACATGGAATTCTGTTCATTTAAAAACATTCGGCTGTTAAGTGGAGAGGAAATGTTTTGAGAATGATGAGGGCAATGAATGTACAAATGTGCTTTACACAATTGATGTGTGTTCGGATTGTGATAAGAGTTGTATGAGCCCCTAATAAAATGATTAAAAAATAACAACCAACAAAAAAATAAAAACATTAGGCTGAGAAAAGGCTGAGAGGGAGTCACAGCACACGAGGGGTTCAACACTCCCCATGTACCTGCTCTTTCTAGAGCTGTAACTGGTTGGGAGCGGGGATACATAACAATCGTTTAGTACTTAGTAGATGTGGGATTTGGAACCTCATCATTCTATAAGGTAGGTATTCTCATTACCCTAATAGTGTTCTTTCATCTTTTGAAAGGTTTATTGTGTCATTTCAATGGATGTGTGTGCAGGGGGGAGGGAGGAATGGAGGTGCACATAGCCCTCTTGACCCAAAAGTTCAGCTTTCTTTTTTAAAAACTCAGTTTGTATCCACAGTAAACAACTTAGAGGGTACACAGAGGACAGCAAATGGCACCTCAAATCCTACTGCCTCTTTGGTGAATGCAGCCCCACTGGCATCAAGGGCAATGTGTTGGTTCCTAACCGAAAGGTCCCCAGTGTGAACCCAGCAACCACTCTGCAAGAGAAAGATGAGGCTGTCCGCTCCCAGAAAGAGTTGCTGTCTCAGGAACTCACAGGGGCAGCCTACACGTCCTATAGGGTTGCTTTGAGGCGGAATTGACTATGAATTGAGTTTATTTGGTGAATGTTGTTCTAGACATCACGGTAGGCATGTACACACATATCAACTTGTGCCAAGAGGAGTTTATTTAAATATTTGTTAACAAAACAGGGCTGGGCTCAAAAAAAAACTCAAGCTCATTGCCATCAAATCAAGTCAGATTCATAGCAACCTATAGGACAGAGTAGAACTTCCACTTGGGGTTCCTGAGGCCATAAATGTCTGGGAGAGCAGAAAGGCTCATTCTCCTGCACATCATTGGTGGGTTTGAAAATCTGACCTTGTTTAGCAGCCTAATACATGCCCCACTACACCCCCGGGTTCCAGGATCAGTAGTTTAATGTTTGATTTTATTATTTAGTATTTTAGTCAAGAATACATCAGGGTTATCTTCCATACCAGTGATAAGAGTTTTTGCAGATTATTGTCATGCTACAGATGAGAAATCAGGAGCCCTGGTGGTATAGAGGTTACTAGTTGGGCTCCTAACCCCAAGTTATCAGTTCGAAACCACCATCCAGCTCCATGGGAAAAAGATGAGGCTTTCTAATCCCGTAAACAGTTAAAATCTTGGATAGGTCAATTCATAGAGACAATAACTAGAGTAAAGGTTCCTGGAGGGTATGGCGGGAGAGCTGGCAGGCAGGGAGGGAAGGGGGGACAGGTATCAATGCGTTCAAGAAGGAAGAAAATGTTTTGAAACCAATTGTGGTAGCGATTGTAGGAGGCCGTTTGATATGCTTGAGCTATGGAATAGTATGGTGTCTGGATTAGCTCTGAATAAAATGCTTTGAAGGAAAGAAACACCAGAATTTAGACTCGGAGGGTGGGGGTAAGGAGGGAGTTATCATCTTGGAAACTCACAAGGGCAGTTCCCCTCTGCCCTATAACAGGGTCGCTGTGAGTCTGCATTAACTTGATACTAAGGTTTTGTTTTTTAAAAAATCGTTTTATTAGGGGCTCATACAACTCTTATCACAATCCATACACACATCAATTGTGTAAAGCGCATTTGTACATTCACTGCCCTCATCGTTCTCAAAACGTTTCCTCTCCGTAGGTTCAGGTGATTAAAGCCTTGCGCTATCCCAGAATTGCTTGTTTCTCTCTTTTTTTTAATAATCATTTTATTAGGGGCTCATACAACTCTATCACAATCCATACACACATCAATTGTGTAAAGCGCATTTGTACATTCATTGCCCTCATCATTCTCAAAACATTTTCTCTCCACTTAAACGCCCCCGGCATTAGGTCCTCATTTTCCCCTCCCTCCCTCCCTCATGAGCCCTTGAAAATTTATAAATTGTTATTTTGCCATATCTTGCCCTGTCCGACGTCTCCCTTCACCCACTTTTCTGTTGTCCGTCCCCCAGGGAGGAGGTCACATATAGTTCCTTGTAATCGGTTCCCTCTTTCCTACCCACTCTCCCTCTACCCTCCCTGTTTCGCCACTCACACCACTGGTCCTGTAGGGCTCATCCGCCCTGGATTCCTGGATTTCCAGTTCCTACCAGTACTTGTTTCTCGATGACCTTATCTCTGTAAGGGGACAAGCCCTGGGGTCTTGGCAGGACTGAGCGGCTTTCATCCTTTCCGCTGCATTTACCTTCCAGCCGGCAGCTCCAAGTCTTAGCGATTTGTGGGGACAGGCACCTTTGGGGATGGGGTTCGGGAACGCAGGTCCTGGCTGCGGGAACGCAGGTTCAAGTGCTGCTGGCGGCCGGATGCCACATCCCACCAGGGACTGACCACTGATGTCCTTGGATTGGCCAGTCACTCCCGCAGGCGGGCCGAGCGCATCCTAATCCCGGAGCTGGAGTTCCAGTTTGATGGGTTGCTGAAGCAGACGAGCGCGTCGCGCCAGCTCCTCTTCCACCCCCGCGTCTCTGTGGGGGCCATGTGCCGCAGCCACCGGCACAGGAGAGCAACTTGCAGCCACGTGGGCTCCTGGCTGGGTCAGGTTCCAGGAAGGCGAGGATGCTGAGAGGAGCCAAATGCAGGGGGCAGGGGAGGGGGACACGCTGAGGCCAGAGTCCGGGTATATTTCCACCTGCTGGTTCCCAAAGTTTAAATTGGCTCCGTCATCCGCAAAGGACTGTTATGCGCTGGTAGCCAGTCCCAGGGGACTGGAGCCCTCAGCCCGAGTGGCAGCACACCTGACTGGGGCCAGGCCACCCACAGGAGGCTTTGCAGATTCTCCACCAAGGTGGAGAACCACAGATGGGGGTGATTCCGCTCCTTCACGAAGGGCTTCGTTTTCAGGAGGGGATGGAGCTGGTGATGATAACGAACATGAGTTCTACACTAACACTGGTGGACGGTGTTCTAGAGAGAGTCTTGCTGGAGACACAGGAAACCCCCAATTTTGCAGAAAAGGGAATTGAGAGGGCCCGGGAAGTTAGGTTGCCTGCCCAGGATCACAGAGTTCGTATTGGACAGAGATGAACTTTTAAACCAGGCCTGTAAAAAAATATATGTACACACACACACACACACACACACACCAGGGGTATCCCCCCTCCCCCAAACCCGTTTATTGTGTCATTTCAATGGATGTGTGTGCAGGGGGGAGGGAGGAATGGAGGTGCACATAGCCCTCTTGACCCAAAAGTTCAGCTTTCTTTTTTAAAAACTCAGTTTGTATCCACAGTAAACAACTTAGAGGGTACACAGAGGACAGCAAATGGCACCTCAAATCCTACTGCCTCTTTGGTGAATGCAGCCCCACTGGCATCAAGGGCAATGTGTTGGTTCCTAACCGAAAGGTCCCCAGTGTGAACCCAGCAACCACTCTGCAAGAGAAAGATGAGGCTGTCCGCTCCCAGAAAGAGTTGCTGTCTCAGGAACTCACAGGGGCAGCCTACACGTCCTATAGGGTTGCTTTGAGGCGGAATTGACTATGAATTGAGTTTATTTGGTGAATGTTGTTCTAGACATCACGGTAGGCATGTACACACATATCAACTTGTGCCAAGAGGAGTTTATTTAAATATTTGTTAACAAAACAGGGCTGGGCTCAAAAAAAAACTCAAGCTCATTGCCATCAAATCAAGTCAGATTCATAGCAACCTATAGGACAGAGTAGAACTTCCACTTGGGGTTCCTGAGGCCATAAATGTCTGGGAGAGCAGAAAGGCTCATTCTCCTGCACATCATTGGTGGGTTTGAAAATCTGACCTTGTTTAGCAGCCTAATACATGCCCCACTACACCCCCGGGT